GGGGGGGTCCCTAAAATGAGGTTTGAAAATACATTTGAGTGCATTTTTGCATGGACTTGGTAGCTGTCCTGACCGTGCTATTTAACGCCTAAACTGAAATGTCTCTTATCTTATGTCACATACACAGCACCCCATGGACTGAGAGCGGTTTTCCAGAGCCCTCATGGACATCCTGTGATTCAGGACTGATTCGATGCCGGTGGGTGATTGGTCATTACAGAAGCAACTGGTAGTTTCAATCAGAGTTGGAGAAAACTGGTCCACATGCTAATTGTTGAATAGCGGTTACCATGAGTCAACAGTTGGAATATCCTGAAACCATGCAGTTAGAAAGCTAAGGTGAGCTAATGAGAACCTAAAGGTGCCACTGAAAAAGTGTAGAACTGGAATAAAAACTTGTGAACGCATGCGTTTTGTTGATTAGTATGGTTTTTGGACTGTGAAAGAAGCTGGAGTACTCAGAGAGAACCCAAAGGGAAACAAAGCTAGTTCCGGATGAATCCAACTGAACCTAAGCCAAACACAAGATGTCAAATATTTGTATTTTTACCTCTTTAAATCCCAGTTATTGGTAATGAACACTTTGATAACCTCCACAAGCTTCTTCAGTGACCACATGGTGAACCTTATGAATTAAACAGAATTTAACAGTGGAGTTTCTCTTACATCAGCAGTAACAAAAAAAGACAAAACATGGAAAACCAACCTTCTAAAGATTTCTAAATCCAACCAATTATTATAAAAAGAAATCAAATCATTTTTAAACCAATGGATTTTTTTCTGACATGATTTTAATTTTTGAAGAAAAAACTAGGGGAAATAAACTGTGCCTTTTAAACCAGATGAAAATACCATATTTGCATTGGTTTCTAGGAATGTTTGGCATCTTTGGGGTGAAAGCTGACGTTGGCCCGCATCAGTGACTGTAGAAAGACGCAGTTTGTCTTTATCTCCACCAGAGGAAGACACACCCATGCACAAAATCCTTTTCCAGAAATGAGTAAATGCCTTAAATACTGAATAATCTGTCGCTGTTGGGAGATACCTTTAAGCTTATGACAGAGCTGTGTTTCATCTTTGCAAGAATAGAACGATATTGGTTTAACTTTAGGAAATAATCCTATTGAATTAAATCAAAATAGATTTTTTTAAGCCAAAGCCTCTCTTAAGTTTGGTTATTTTTTCGGTAAGGATCCAAGCACAGGCCAAGGAAAAGTCAAACTGGGGAACAACTGAGCCTGTAAAGAACTGAAGCTTATAAGAAGCTATAAGAATTCTACAAGAAGAAAAAAATAGCCAATGTCAGATTACCAGGATAAAACTAAATAATAAAAAAAAAAGAATAACTGAAAACTGACCTGAAAAAGAAGAACACGGAGGCAGAATAAAAGTACCGAAAAACAAAAAGAGATCTCCAAACTCAACCAGGAAACCAAACTAAAACCAATAGACCTGTTTTCCCCCTGTACCATCCTGCTCACAGACTCAGTCAGAGGTTTAGCTATGGGATGTCTAAATCAAGCCTGAGTTCAGATTTCTTTTGGAAAATGTCCCGCTGTTAGCATAAAGTGTCCTTCCAAATATCGGTTAAAAAAAAAATTGATTCTGGTGTTTGTTGCTCCAAAGAAATGAACAAATCTACATGTTTTAATGATATTTTTAGTGTGGATCTTAATGGATTAATGCCCTGAAGTGAACTGCCATCTGTGTTATTTCTCTCATGAATTTAAATTTAGAGCTAAATACTTCAGGTTCTCACACACTGCTGCGAGTGTTAAAGGAAAACAAAACAACAACAATGACAAAACAAACATGACAAAACACAACAAAATGAACACAGCGGGACAATGAGATAGAACAAAAAAAAGGAAGTCCTGGACACCAGGAAGCAAAGGCAATTTGTGCATCAGTGTCTCTGAGCATTCCAAACATATTCTGATGAAAAAGCAAAGAAAAGATGA